AAAACATGCATGTCCGTGGAAGGTTACTACTGCCAAGTCAGTTTATGACTTTGTCGCGAAAAGTATCAAAGGGGAGGATATCTCTTTGGAAAAGTTAGCGTCTAATCAGATAATCGTACAAGTTTTTTTAACACACGTAAAATTTTATATTATTTTAATAAATTTTTAGATACAAAGGCAACGTATTGGTGATTGTAAATGTTGCTTCGAGATGCGGCTATACTTCAAAAAACTACAAGGAGTTAAATGAGCTCTATGAAAAATATGAATCTCAAGGTGATTTGTGGGAAAAATATTATTGTACCGTTTTAATGCAATTAAGTAAGTAACAATATTATTTTTAAGGTTTAAGAATCTTGGCGTTCCCGTGCAATCAGTTTCGTGGACAAGAGCCTGGAGATGCAGACAAAATTTGTCAATTTGCTGCGAAAAAAAACGTAAGAACCCAAGTAATAAAATTTATCCCTCCAATCTACCAATTTCTGTTATTAAAAGAAAAAAAAATGTTTTAATTGTACAGGTGAAGTTCGATTTGTTTGAAAAAATCAACGTGAACGGTAAAAATGCCCATCCTCTTTGGAAATACCTTAAAAAGGAAGAGCCTCGCACTTTTGGCGATTTAATCAAGTGGAACTTTACCAAGTTTTTAATCGACAAAAATGGCAAGGTCGTTGAACGATTCCCGTCTAGCACCAATCCCCTAAAAATGACCAAGGACATCGAAAAGTATTTAAATGCTTAAGTTTCATAGGTATATTAATAAAATATCAGTTTTCGTAAGTTACACATGTACCTTCATGGCTCCTACGCTTTTCTCTATTTTCATACTAAAAATCTTTTTTTTATTTTATGTATCAAACTGTTATTGTTTGTAATTTTAAATTACTAAGGTTTTTTTAAAAATGTTTACTTGTTCGTCATAAACAAAAAGAAAATATGTCTCTACTTCCAATAATACAAGAATGTTACAGTGTGTTGCTGTATGTATACAATTTTGTAGTACAAAATCGTTTGAGTTTTAAATAAAATTTTCTTTTCTATAATAGTTGAATTAATAATTGGATAGTAAAAAATAAGTTAAGTCGTTATACTTTTTCTATTGTACTAAAAACGCGAAAATTGTTTAATTATTTTGTTTCAATAAGCTATAATAGTCAAAAAATATATTATTTAAGATTTTTGATTATTAATATACATAAGTACACGATAACATAGGTATATGCATTATTAAATTTCGTAGCAGAAATGCAGAAGTGTATGCTATGTATGTGTGACACGTCAATGTGTTAGCGCATGCACGCACTGTAGGATTCATTTTGTGCGATCACTGCAGGCAGTGATTCACTATACGATAGTTCGGTGCTACCAAGGTACAGTAAGCACTACGCAGCAGTTATTGACCAGATGTGTCAGGGAAAAGATCTATTCAGAAATATTACAAAGAACTTGCAATTTTTTCATCAAACTAAAGCAATACACCAGAGTGCAAAAACATATTCAGGTAAAAAGTAGAAACCTCTGACAATACCACTAATTTTACAATAAATACATCATATTCTATAATTATAATGTCGTACCGGTTATTATTAATTTTCGTGAATATAATCGGATATCAGATTATTTATGTACTTATATATTTTAAAAAGAGCTTAAATGTTATTGTAAATGAAAAAGTAAGCTACAGGTTTCTTATCTGGTATACTTTTCACTGTTACGTGCTGGGTGTATTTTACACTATGAACACTATAAAATACTTGAGTAAATGGGTGATAAATGATTAAAAAGAGTTTATGTAATACTGCTTTGCACAATTGTAATATGATGAAATTCAGTTTGAAGAACAATTTTTTTTTCGAGGTTAAGTCAGTGAGTCATAGCGAATTTATACTTTAGCTAATACTTTTTTATGTATTTACTAAACTTCCTGCAAACGTCAGTTGTAACGATAACGATTGTTTAAATCAAAAATAAAACACTTGTTTTTGGCCATAGGCAGTTTCAACCTTAACCTTCTTGAAAGTTGTACATTAATTGAATGAAATATTCAAAGTAAATCGACGTGTTTTGTTTCTATGACATTGTTATTATTATGCATGTAAAAACGTACACATGTGTATGACTCCATTTATGCATGAAAATTTGTATGCGTGAATATAAGCTGAGTTAAGCATTAGCAATGAGTCTGCAAAAATTCAATTTCTTGATTTAAAAAAAACTTGAAAACTCGAAAATTTTTCAATTGAAAAATATTTTCTTTTTGCAGAAACTATGAGTGGAAACGCTGATTACAAGTCTGCCAAATCAGTTTATGATTTTATAGTTAAAAATATTAAAGGAGAAGATGTTCCAATGGAGAAGTAAGAATTATAGTTTTTTTACTCAAAATGTTTGGTGAATTTTTAAATAAAGAAACAAATTTGTATCTTATCATGTTTCAGATACAAAGGTCACGTCTTACTAATTGTAAATGTTGCTTCAAAATGCGGTCTTACTGCAGATAATTATAAGGAACTTAATGAACTTCATGACCAATATGCAGAATCCAAGGGTTTGATGGATTTTTAACAGCATTACAATTTAATGATGAGTTACTTCAAAATTATTGAAGTATGTATTGTATAACTTTCAGGTTTGAAAATTTTGGCATTTCCTTGTAATCAGTTTAATGGCCAAGAACCTGGCGATGCTGAAGAAATTTGTAGTTTTGCTAATCGACAAAAAGTAAGTCATATCATCAAGTTAGTACTTCTTCATTTATTGTATGAAACTGTAAGTAAATAATGGAATAATAAAATATAAACTATCTGAAAATTAGGTAAAATTTGATCTTTTTGAAAAAATCGACGTCAACGGCGACAATGCGGACCCCCTCTGGAAATATCTTAAGAGGGAGCAAGGAGGTACACTTCTTGACTTCATCAAATGGAATTTCACCAAATTTATCGTCAATAAAGAGGGGAAAGTGGTTGAACGACATGGACCCAATGTTAATCCCAGTAAACTTATTAGTAACCTCGAAAAGTATTTTTAAAATGCACTCTCACAATTTGATATATATTTTAAGAGTCTAGTACACATTAATTTTTTAAGAATTATCACCTTTTTTTAATATGAAAAATGACGAACGTAACTGTAATTTTTCATACAACATTGTTAAAAACTTTGAAGCCTTTATATTAAAATGATTTTTAAAATTTTTAATTGTGTTATACACATATACATTCTAAACAAACTAATAAATATAAAGTAAGTAATACTTAATATATACACATATTTAATGTATTTTTCTTTGCATAATAAAGCATTGGTTTTACGGAAGATTATTATTTATTTAATTTGTTAATTATCAGTTGGTTGACTGATATTTCCTTTGATTGCGATTTGTGCAGAGTTACGTTATTGAATTAATTCTTATAGATCTCTTTAATGAAAATCGATTCTCAAAGCTTACAGCAACACATTTTCAGGGGATTGATTCCTAACTCAGTAATAACAGATCCCTGCCTCAAGATCATGCTTTTGGAAACAGAGCTATAAACTAATCAAAAAAATTTTAATGATTTTATAAGGGGTTACGTGAAATAGTTGTATGAAAATAAATTTAAAAAATTAGAAATGATTTTAAATTTGAAAAAAAAATTAATACGTATTTGAAAACTTATAGCTCTACTCTAAAAAAAGTGATATGTATATTAGACGTTGAAAAATGATTTGACTTGCTATAATTGTATGATTGTTCAACAGTTGCGTGCACTTACTGCACCTACGTTAAAGTATATACGTATTTTGATTCTCAGAATTGTGTACCGATTTTATCGATAAATATAAGATTAATAATTGCAACATACAAACAGTAAATATGAGTTGAAAAAAGTGCGATGGAATCATTGACTTCCGGTGTAGTGGCGACAAAAGAGACGGACGTCCGCGGATTATTTGACCGGAAACCGAAGGTTCATGCATTGGCTGATAATTGCACAATCGTTCACATCCTATTTTCCCTCCCTATCTTCCTCTCTCTCGCTTCGTGCTAACTTTCTCTCTTTTTTTGGTTCTACTTGCTGATTCTAATGAGAATTTTTATTCGATTATCTAGCTCGCACTGACACTTGCTCGCTCTCTCATTGAACTCGTTTTTTTGAAGAATTAAGCCCCGTGTAAAGTAGATTGCACATTAAGATAGTAAAAAGTTTATTCGACGCTGCACTAAAATATTAAAATTTCCAACTATTGCATAGCATATTTGATATATTACCGATACGTCTGAAATAATTAAAAATTGCACGAGTCTTGTGGTTCAAGCCGTTATCTTGTAGAGAAATGTAGTGAACTATGTGATTATAGTTTTTGTTTTCATCATGTGAATAGACATTTAAAAAATACAGCTAAACTGCCGATATCTTAGTGTGTATTACTTAAAAATGTGATTTCATCGCGGTAAAGAGTATTTCATCTAGAGAGAGTATTCAGTTACAGGATTTACAATAACTTATTTTCCACTTTTTGTATTTCGCCACATTTTTATACAGTATTTAAAATTAAAAATTGTAAATATAAGATTTTACATACCTGTTGCCAAACCGTTCTTTCCAAAACTCGGCAGCATCTGACTTGGTGATGCGAAACTGATCACCAGCAAAGACTCCATTAGGAAAAATAGCTTTCAGTTCTGACAACATATGACTAAAAACTAAACTAAGTTTTGTTAAGTTTCTTCTGTAATGAGAATTCTCATCAAACATCTTCTCTTTTCCTTCCTTGAAAAGTTTAATCGCCTGTTTGCACTTTCTCATTAAATTATTTATAAAGACACAAAAGTGTTCATTGCTGTGCAGCACATGCATTCGATCCTCGTATTTGCCATAAATGAGCCTGAGTCTCTGATATGTGTCTGGCAATATGTCCAGTATAAACGGTGGTGAGTTTTTAAGATTCATACGCTGATGCTGACACAACTTGACAACTTTATCCATTAATTTCCACGTTTTGTCGAGCATTCTTTTGTCCGTAGACAGTTTTGGCGGTGTGGTCATTGCATCTGCAAAGCGACCCTGTAGCTTTTGAAAGAGCGAGCTTATTTGCACAGCCCTACTTCTGCTGCTTTGACCAGAAGACATATTGGCTCTAAAAAGAAAGACAATCATTAAATTTTTTTCTCCTCTATTTAAAAAAAGGAAGTTCAAAGGCCACCCACGCATATAACAATTTTATTGAAAGTATTCACTACAAAAATGATAATAAGCTGACACATTTTGCTAAGTATTGGGAAAAAATAATTTGAAAAAACTTAACCCTATTACTTTGGACATTTGATAGAGTTAAAAAAAAATTCGTTTACAAGAATTAATATAACAGGTAGGCAAAAAAGCAGAAAAATAAGCAAGCCATTGCAAAAGCTCATCTTACATGCTACACTTTTGATATTGTAAGTGAACAGTAGCAGACAAATGTGATAATCGCAAGTTGATTACCTATGGGATAGAGTGCAACTCCAGGTGTAGGGAAAAGAGCTGCAAACGTACTTCCTCCACCCCTGACTTCTTTTTCCTGCACTCCTCGTTCCTAGCAGAGTTCTTGATGCATCCTGAAGTTTCCCTTCATGGCCCACAATCTTAAGAAACTTCTATTTTGTGTCTCTCTTTACTTGAGACTTCTGCCCATTCTGGACAAAACCTTTGAGTAATTACGAACAATTAGGAGGGTCAAGGCTGACAATTATACCTACGAAGCCTCGTAGCAGACGTAGCCCATATGTCACTCAACATTATACGTCCACATATAACACTCGCCCCAGCGTCAATGATAATAAGTATACAACTGCAGCAGTAGCAGCATACTTATAGACGTAAGTATGACGTAGAAGTAAAACTATATAAGTACACAACAGAAAACTGATCTCTGACAACTTGACAACGTGTACACAAATTGTGTAGGAGCTCCACAAATCCACAATTCTGATAAGTGATATGAATGGTACTTATACAGGTGCGAGATGTATAAGAGGTAAGTAGTTATCATGTACATAAAAATAAAACACTACCTACGTATACAGTCAATGGATCACGGGCAACAGGCCACCTACATTATACACTCCCACGTTTACAAGCGCATACATCTCGATATGCCAAATAAATTTACTATTTACAGCGAACAAACGCACAAATACACTTAATATTAAGTGATTCGCAGATTCGCAATAGGTACTCGCAACTTTGACTCCAAAATGTACACACACACACGCATACACGCTCATGCGTCTGCTTCTCTGATTAGTGTTGTATACTTCTTTGGTGGTATAGTTCATACACTTTATACATATAGTACGTGTACATTGAGGATGCAGGATGCAGCAGCATCAGCGGAACTGAGATGCGCACACTTGATCGCAACCACCTGAAAGTCCTGTCCCTGATTTCCTGAACCCCGAACCCTGAACCTGATACCTCGTTACTAATGCGTGAGTAGGTATATAGTATACTCATCTACATTGTTTTCTCATAATCTCGAGAACGAGGCGACCGAAAAATATAATCATCATCATACGTAGGTAGGTATTTATAGTGAGCTGTGTTCAGAAGAAATGCCATTTATATACTTATAGCCGTTGCTCTGAAAAATGTTTCTACGGATCGCGGAATTAGCAATAAACGAAGTAGCGATCGAGTCGCGCGAGAGATAAGATGGAGATTTTATAGCGTATCGCGGAACGAACATTTAAATTGCTGAATTAACGACGACGGGCGGGCCCATTTTATTGGCTTAATTTAATGAGTTTTAATAAGTTGTTACGAGAGATTATGTATTATATATACGGGAGAAGATGAAGATACTTATATCGACTTATACCTTTCGAACAACTTATATTTTGGCGCTTTTCAGTTCATGAACAAGACCGAAATGCGTCATCGGCGACTCATCGCTCTTCTTTAGAACGTTATTTGAATCGTGATGACCTAATTAATCATGTTTTGTTCGTTCAATTAAATCTTAATAAATAATTATTGTACGTTATTGTAGCCATCATTTATTTTTTCATGACATAAAAACCGTAATTTTTTGTAATGCCCATAAGGTTTAATCACGCCTATTTGAAACTTATAAATTATTTAAATATTAAGCTGAAATTAGTTATTTGAGTCTATTTCGGCGTCCAGAGCGTTATTTGGCCCGATGATATCGCGTATGCGAAACGTTACACGAAAGAGCAAGTCCCGACTTTTCCACGCATAATTCACATGCGATCGAAAATTTTTTTTTCTGTATAACTTATGGGGATGGTTTCACCAATAGTAAATGAAGAGTATTTATTTAAACTTTTTAAATAAAACATGCATGTCCGTGGAAGGTTGCGAGAACTTAAAAAGTGAACAGATATTTTTTAACAGTTTTGAAATTTATTATTAATTTCTTTTGCATATTTCTTTATATTCTATTGAAAAGTAGTCAATTATTTTCTTTTGTCCACATAACGATAATATCTATAGTCTCAAACAATTGACCTATTGTCAGTTCAACCAAAAAGTAATCTGCAAGAACAGGACGTGAGCAATGAATCCTTTACCTAATATTTTGTGCTCATTCTAAGTAGGAATTGTTTTATTTGAAAATAAACTTCGATAAAACTAATTAACAACTTACTATTCAATCAATGTATGTATAAAAAAGTAAGGTCGTTAATTATTCTTAAGTTATTAATTGAAACAATGAAAAATTGATTTCACAGAAATGTACAAATAATAAAAATTATTCGACCTTAAGATAATTCATGGCAACTTATTTTTATACAACTAATATGTACAAGCTGCAGTAACACTTTTTATTTCAATATGAAGTAATTTAAAACAATCACATTATCCATTATTATTCAAGGGATATAATCATTACAATGAACATAATTATATAATAATCGCATGGTTAACGCTTAAGTTGCGCTTTCATTGTCTACACAACTTGAAACATCAATAAAATTGTCTCTCGTAAGTCTATTGACAAAAAAGAAAACTACTTGGAAAAGTATATAACACTTGTTTTTATAAAATAATAGTTCTTTTAATACGAATTCAGTATGCCATCCGAATAATATAGCCGCTATAAATTCTATAAAAATTCGTAAAACATAAAATAAAAAACAATTAAGTGGTGTATATACATCGTTATTAAAATCGATCGAACTATATTCTAGCGTAAAGTGTTATAAAAACAGCCTAGTTTACATCATAGTTTGAATATTTTTTCCTTTAGCTATACAGTTGGTTTCATTTTTATACACGAATAATTGGCCTAGTTGACAAATAGGTATATAATAATTATTGGTGGATTCGTATTGCAAAAATAAATGCGTCACCGACTGTTTAAGTAAATGCTTATACTTAGTAACATAAAACTACTCATTAAGAACCAGCTTGCAGGTATTGATGCCAATATGCGATACCTCTCATCTGAAAAATTAATAAAAATATAAAATTTGTATGATTTTTCGATGTCTACATTTAAATTTTAAATCAACTATATAGATGTTATATACCAGTCATCTGTGGAGACATCTTAATGGATGCCCAGCCAAGACTTCTTTGCACAGCCATTTTCCACTTTTTGTACCTTGCATCTCTTTCTAAAAAAAAAAATTAAAAGAATTAATAAATCCCTTTTTCGATCATTCATGTATTTTTTTTTTTTTTATAAATACCTTCTAGGGTCGTTGTAGGTAAAAATGTGTCAGTCAAGACTGTTTCAACACCTGCTCCTTCCAACTGCCAAAGTCCAATACCAGCTGCGTTTCCAGCAGCTTTAGCAGCCCCCAGGGCAGTTATATCGGGAACCATAGATCTAACTGGAATATGAAGTAATTTTCAAACTTTTATCCAGTGGAAAGGCTTACAAATCAAATGTAAAAATTGGATACTCACACACGGGAATACCAGCAATGTCGGCTTGAAGTTGCATCAATAAACTATTAACCGACATTTTGCCGTCTGTGTAGAGTTTAGTTAACGGAAAGCCACAATCTTTGAACATGGCTTCTAAAATATCTCTAGTTTGAAAACAAACCGATTCCAAGGATGCTCTAATAATGTGGTCCTTTGTCGTAAAGGCAGTCATCCCGCAAATAATGCTGTGAAAGACATGTTATTTTTATTGATGAGGAATCATTACGAAATCTGAATAAAAGTCAAAAGGAGAAAAAAAAGTATTGAATTAAAAATAAGACCAAGCAAACAAAACGCCTACCCTCGAGCATCCTTGCGCCAATATGGCGCGTACAATCCCGAAAAAGCCGGAACAAAGTACACGTCGCCCGTGTTCAAGACCTTCTGAGCGAGGTGTTCACTTTCATGGACGTCCTTCATCATGCTCATATTGTCGCGTAACCACTTAATCGCAAGTCCCGCTACCGCAACCGATCCCTCGAGGGCGTACACAACCGGACTGTTGGGTCCCAGTTGATACGCCACTGTCGTTACCAAGCCATGGGATGAGAAGACCCGTTGCGTACCGGTGTTGCAAAGCAAGAAACACCCGCTTCGATATGTGTTCTTTGCTTGCCCCTGCTTCAAACAATTCTGTCCAACAAGAGCTGCCTGCTGGTTGCCCAATATCTAAAGGACATCAATCATTATGAAAACAATTTTTTTTCCCCCTTATTACCAATGTGATAATTAAGATGGGTCTACAGTAGTTGGTCGTTAATTAAGTGCAATTTCAAAGCTCACCCCCGAAATTGGAATGCCAGCAAGCGCTCCGAGTTTGATGGTCCCGTAGATTTCAGAGCTACTGCGTATTTCTGGCAAAATATCCATGGGAATGTCAAAGTATCGACAGAGCGTTACGTCCCAATTCGTCGTCTCGATATTCATCAGCATCGTCCTCGATGCATTCGTCACGTCGGTTATGTACAGACCACCGTTCTTGCCACCAGTAAAATTCTGTTAAAAGACATTTTTTTTTTTTTTTTAATTTATTCTATACGAGCATTATACTATTGTTCCATGGGATGTGGAAAAAAAGATTGATTAATCGAAAGAAAAACGGCTCTTACCCAGACTAGCCACGTGTCTATGGTTCCAAACATGCATCGACGTTTGCGCATCGCTTTCCTGACACCAGGTACATTTTCCATGAGCCATCTGATTTTCAAGGCCGAAAAGTACGAGCTCACTGGCAGCCCGCAAATCGGCCTCAAGTGGTTTTTGTCGTTGTCCGGGAACTTGGCCGTTATTTGGTCCACCATTTCGTTCGTCCGTATGTCCGACCACACTAAAAATACGATCACGTAACTATCGCGCAAAGCTGACCATTTTCGCACGAGTATGACAATTACAGAGCCCCCATTTTTGTTGGCACTCGTTGGATTTCACCTTTGAGTGCCATTTTTCGTGAGATATGTCGAGTCGCACTAGTAACGAAACTAATCTATTATTGAATACGCAAAAAATAAAAATAAAATTTTCCGCAGAGTAGCAACGTCTTTACTCCAAAAATTAAGTTAAAAATCATCTTAAAATTGAAATGTCGACCAACCAATTTATTGTTGTTTAAATGATAGTTTTGGGTATTTCCCAGCCGCGAAATCTTCGAAACAGTTTTTTTCTTCCATGCACCAACGACGACGATAATAATAATAAATAAAAAAAGGACATGTGCTCACGTATGGCATTGTAGAGGGAATCGCCGGTCTTGGAGTCCCAGACGAGGGTCGTCTCCCGGGAGTTGCAGATGCCGACGGTGACGATGCTGCTCGCGTCCAGGCCTCTCCCTGCCATTTTTCTCAACACCTCGCCGACGCAGTCCTTGATCGCCGACTGGATCTCCTTCGGGTCCTGCTCGACCCATCCCTCTTGGGGGGTCAGCTGCTCAATGTCGATCTGATGCGACTGCACTTCGGTCACGTGTTTCGCATTGAATATCTATGGTGGCAAATTAAAGGAGTAGAAAAAAAATCAACAACTCATTATTCATATAGATCCACCTTCCTTTCTCCTCCTCATGAGCTGTATGTTCATTTGCTCAACGGAAGCATTAACATTGGTACATAATATGGGAGTGCGGGGGAGAGGTGGCGCGTAAGTTTCCTTGAATATACTCACAACAAACCGAACAGTTCGCGTGCCGACGTCAATCACTCCGATGAAGGGGCCGGGCTGGCTCGGGGCTGAAGGCATCGTGCTGCCTGAAAATGAGGAAAAATCAACGTCACTGATCGCAATACTTATGCAGCGTAACGAAAGCGGTGTACTGATAATAACAACAACAATGTGGGCGTCATCGTCAAAACTTTATTATTATTATTATCAATTGGGAAGTGGTGATTTTTGTGGGTCATGTGGTCGTTCCTGCGAATTGATCCAAACATCAGCCGATACGCAAACCTTGTCTGTGGTATATCGATACAGAGTATATGGCATACGTAGTTGACTCGAGGTCATGAAAATTTGAAAGGAGAAAAAATTAAAAACTTTATTTTGTATTTTTTTTTTTCTTTTTTTAAAGTAAGGACCGTGTGCCATGGTACATTTTGTTACGTTATCGAAAGAAATTCAATATTTAACTGGCTTTGGAAACAAAACAAAAATTTAATTTTTTTCATCTCAACTGTCCCATGTAGCAATCCAAAATATGTATATGAGACCAAAAGTAAAAACTACTATCGAATGCATGAAAAAATTAAAAAAGTACCATTAATTATGGCCAATGTTAAAAAAAAGTTAAACTATTGAAAAATCGTATACCAAATATAGTTAATTTGATAAAATTAATGAAGCAGCTGCCAAACACTTATATACGTACGCAAACAAGGATTTGCAATTGTGAGAAATCAATTTCGAGTTCTTAAAATCTGATCGATTAGGCAGGTACACTTTTCGATACTATGATACGTTGAAAAGGGCCCTTTATCCATACGCATCCGAATGAAAAAAAAGAAAAAAAATTTGTAAAAAATTAATACCAAGACATAGGTAAATGTACATGTAGACATAATATTATGCGCAGTTAAAAAAGAGAGGAGCGACAAATAGGAAAAGGAAAAACTTGACGACAGCGACGTATGATGAAGTAAGAACGATTTAATTGGGTACAGACACAAAACGAGCATGCGAACGGCCGAGGAAAAAGTAGCGGAGTCATCTCTATGGATGAAGCACGTGAGCTTGACGCAGCATGAGCTCTTGCTCGACTATGGCTTCTTATTGATGAAGAAAAAAAAAAAAAAAAAAGCTCTCACTTCCTACCCTCTCTCTCTCTCTCTCTTGCTTACGTTTTTAGGCGATATTCACGGCCAAAGAGCGATGCAGACTTTTATTTTAAAATGTGTACACGCGTGGTATAATCAAAAGACGCGCCAGCGCCCCGCTGTCAAATTTGAGGAGCATCACGATAGCGTGCAGCCGCGATACTTTTATAGACAAAAACGACAAGGAATAGAATTTTGTTCCGAAGTATTACGCAAAAATAATGATTTTGCAAAAGTCTTCAATGATCAGGAAAATGATTAAATTTTGACGCTAATCACAAGTAGCAAAGGTTAATTTGTTTTTTGGACCCGTAAGTAGTTGTGTTTCTTAAACTAATTATTATAGTTTAGTCTATTTTCATGAAAATTTCTTTAAAATAAATGATAAACAAAACACTTTGTAACGTTACTACGAGATTAAACTGGACGTATAGGTTTCTAGCATTTCACAAATGTACTCTTCAATTTGCCGAAAGTTTTAATTACTTAACATGTAAAAACATTTTTAACAGGTTAAAAAACTTTTTTAATTGCATTAGTAACTGTATCAATTAATTTGAAGGCAACTATTGTAATACCGTTTAGACATGACCACTGAATCAACTAAAAAACCTATTGTTTTTGTTAATAAATAAAGTACACTCATTATTAAAAAAATTCATTTGATAATATAACGTGGCGATGTTCCCAAAACACTTGTTAGCTTATTCATATATATCTGAAAAATAATTATTGTTTTTTTTTTAATTGAAGATTTCAACTGTTTTGATGACAAAAAAAATGTTCCCATAAAATAGTCACAAGAGCATAGATAATACCAAAACAACCGAGAAAAAAAAACTTGTAATTGTCATTTTTGCTTATATAATTGTTTTTCTTGTGTATACTAGGTATTTTTTCGCGGTACTTATAATTTTAGTCTTTGTTTTACGTATATTCGTTTATTAATTTTTTCAATCATTATTTTTCTTACTTTTAATTTTCATTAATCTTCATTCCTTTGCCGCTTATTTCATCATCGACTTGTACTATATTTTTTTAATTGCCTTTGAAAACCGCGTATTTCATCCTCGTTAATATTATTTACTCACGCGCTACACGAAATCAATGGAATAAAAATAATAATGAATTTATAAATATGACGACAATACTTTTCAAGAATTCAATTCATTTCATCTACTCATGTAAGTTATCGATCATTACAAACTTTCAAATTGGCCCATAGCATATAACAGTATAAGTATAAAATAAATTCGAATGAAAATATACATGTGTAAAACTTTGGTGCAGTTGTTACTATTATATAGATGATTATTGTGAAATGGTCGCAGATGCTAGGTTTTATTTAAACGCGACGAAAACTTACCTGTCGAATTTTGGCAGTCGCGCTTGTGTCCGATCTCATCTCCGCTGCCCTCTTCGTTTTGCGCGCCACCTTCCGTGGTCATGCTGATCGTAGCAGCCGCTCGGATCGTCGATTCAAATTCGCTCTCGATATAATTTTCCACCTCCTCGTGAATTTACGGGGCTGCTGGAACACACACAACATACGTTGAATTTTGACATTTTACTCGATAAAAACAAATGGGAGCAATTAATTTTTTCGTCACTTTGGAGGTTGCATTGTTTCCAAAAGACCTTCATTCGATAAGGCGCAGTTGACTGCACTGCGTAAAACATTATTGTATAAACATACATAGGCAAAGTCATAGTGGAGTATACGGTTTCGTAAAGTTGAGTAAATAAAAACAGTCCAGGGTATAATTATAATATCAACTCGAATATATTGCACGTTGGGTGTACATTGTTTGAGCAAATGAGTCATTCAAGGCATTGGTATACCTAATTCTAAATCACTTCACTTACACGAGTTGTGTGTGGCAAGAGAGAAAAAAGAAGATGGAGCAGACATGCGGAAGAGAGAGAGATACGTGTCGTCCCACGGGCGGCGCGGTCAAGACTAAGGCCAGATGTGTTTTTGGGTAACGTCTCGCGCAATCGCTACAGTGATATTCGTCAGAATGTCGCGCTTGAATGAGCGTATATATATATATATATATCTCGGGAAATGATCAACGATAAGAAACATATTTTCATGTTTATCACGGCTTTTCCTCCACCAATTTGGTTGACGGTACCTAAGTATGTATTTTTAAATGTTTGGAGCTGCTGACGAGACGCCCAACTAAACTTCTACCAAGTGCATATTGTTATTACTACTTACTTTTTTTTTAAATACATAATATATTATGTAATTGAGCTCCGTATAATTAAAATTACCAATTGTTTCGCGCATTCGACTATCCAACTATAATGTTGTCAATGTTCTCTCCAACCTGAACTCAAGTCTATACACTTTCGTACGTGAGATTCGTTAAAAAATTATCCAACCATATAAGAAAGCCTTGCGCAATTTTATCAAGTATTCATAGGAATTTTCTTAACATTTATTTTCATTTGTCAGATGACGATGAAAATTTTAGAGTCTTGTATTTTATTATTCATAACAGACGTGATAATTAATTACTTATAAGCTTACAGATTTTTTTTTTTTTACAGGTAAGGAAATTTAAAAAAAACGTATGTATTATATATTCATGTACCCAACAGCTGTTATTGACAAACTGCATCTCAAAGTCAGTTCAATTGATAAGAAAGTGTTTAGTCTTCATTAGCCCTTACACGCGAAATATAATATGTTCTAATCAAGACAATGATGCTAATATTAGTAGTAATTTTTGTAGGAGCAACAAATAATTAAATTAAATTAGAAAAGCAAACAAATTCCTTGAAAAAGACCTTTATACTGCAATGTCCCAAGACTGTATTTTAAACTTGTGGCTTGTCAATGTGTAATGTGCCTGATGATAAATCGCGAAGAAATTAATTGATAATTTTCTACTGGCTAGACATTAAAGAGAGAGAGAGAGAGAGAGCAGCGCTTCACGGCCGGTCAATCCAGCGATACTGAATAGAATTAGCGCTCTCGTGCTGCCCACCAGCAAGTTATCAATTTTAATGTATTTGCAAATACAATTACAGTCGGATCCTTGATCAAACAAGAGCTACTATTTTTACCAATAATTTTTGGCGATTGGGCGTATTGTTTGTGTTAAAATCATACTTTTTTAACTTGATTTTTTAGTAGTATTTTTTTGGCTGAGCCCAGTGGTCACTTGTTACACCGCTAATCTGAGTCATGACCTTTTTCTTATCAGTCGGCGATATAGGTGACACGTGTACACCAGCGTCTCTCAGTTTTGAAGAATATTCGAATAGTTCCAAATGGATTTGAATTTTTCCACGTTGATGCAATACACCTCATGTTATATTTTTGTGTTAATTAAGCACGAAAGCAAGCAACTTGAAATGCAAATAAATACCCAAATCGAGGTGTACCTAAGTATATGTATACTGTAAGAAAACAGCGGAAAATGTGAATAAAGTTCGTAATGTACCTATACGTTTTCGCTACAAGTACCACGCCGAAAGCATTGACGGAGCACGTACAGGTACCTATTGGCCAGGTGCATGTCATGCAGCGCCACTCTTGGTGTCAAAATCATGCAACCGCGAGTACCCACATTATACGTCAACAGCATACACCGATGCACACTTTTACTAATAATTAATTAACTAGCAAAAAATTAATGTATTTATTCATCTGATAATGGATGTTATCATAAAAACAGGCTTTAGGAATATCACACGCTCGATTTGTTTTAACTCTGAAGCTTTAAAAAGAGGTAAACAGTTGGTTGAAAGTAGTCATGGGTGCGATGTTACAGAATTTCAAAGTGATGGAGTTAGCAATTTGACAAGTGCCGTCGTAATAAGGCAGACCTCGATCGGTAACTTCAGCTCCCTACAAAGTTAACCTGCATGTACGTTTTGTTCAGATTATTTTGAAAATTGTCCAAGTTGCAATGCACATGAAAATTACTTTTATTTACAGTTGGATAATCATTGAAATTTATGTAATTTCACTCCATTTTTCTTTGCGCTACTGTTACACTGAACGACACAGCACTTTCTTACACCCACATTTCATAAACGTTAAAATAATAGAAATCACAATGATCATGTCTTATTTCGCGTATTTATCTCTCTTTTAGCCGTCTGCTTCTGAGTGTGTGCTCTGGATCGAAAACTAACGAGACTTTATTATTAAGTATATTGTTACATTCAAACATTTTACAACCGTTCTTGGCACCACATAGTTCATTTTTTTTACATTTGTGCAACTGCAATTTCATAATGTTGATACTATTTATGCATACGTGATGATAACATCTGTAAATTTCTTCATTAAGCAAAAATGACAGTAATTTGGAACCCCAGGTTTCCTATTTTCGCCACTACATACGCTGGTGTTGACTCATCTATCCCCTCCCATCACTTGCAAATACACCAGCCTTGAACTTCAGACTGGCTCTCAATGATGCATATACCTTTGCCCATCTTATTATTAGCATTTGGCTGCTAGGTTTACGAGTTTGACGCTCGCTCCTTTTTTTCACAGAAATTTTCATTAAAAAACAAAATATAGAGCAAATTAGGAGCTGTTACTCATTACGAACAGAGGAAATTATCACAGGACCGTATTTTATCAGATATACGCTCGAAATATTTATTTTTTTTTTTTTAGGTAAACCATGGAAACACTTGACAATTAAATTGTTTTGTATTTAGGGGGGGGTCACTTTTTGAGCACAATTTTATGATTCATATGTATGCTACCATTCTAGAAAAAAAAAGGGTACGAGTGCGAGCAAACTTTATTGAAAACTCATTTTTTTCCGTTATTACCATCATTGGATGATTTCCACGGGGATAGCTGTTGAAAATCACGAGTTTTACCGACTACGTTAAGGGCCTGAGCTACAAATGAACAATGAAAATTAAAAGAGTTTCTTTAAAACTCAATTGTATGATGTTCTCATAGTATTAGCTGCCAAAGCTCACCTCGTACAGGTTGGTGATACCTGCACGAAACTCAGTATAAGCGCACCTTGACCTTCAATTTCGGCTTGCGTATACAACACTTGGAATTATTGACTACGTGGTAATTATCGTTACGTATGTTTGATGAGTATTAAAAAAAAAAACCTTCAAAATATGAAGGGTAGGGTTATAAACTTTTTTTGTGCCATTTGTGCATCGTCAATTTAGTCCGGCTAATTGATTAAAACATTTTTTAACCGTATATATTCAATAATTGTGCGCACCTACGGTCTTTTCCACAGTGAACCAGATAATGCGCATATTCAGGGAACAAAAAGTATAAATACCAACTTACTGAGTTTTTTTTTCAATTATAACTGATATTTTTTTAGTGCATGATCTTTCAAGCACGAGCCAACAAACCTGTGCTCGCGTGGACCGACATGTGCATCAAAATCACATAAGCCAGCACTCAAGGTCATCTTTGTAATAAAGCACTCATCGCGCAAAAATGAGATAAGTATTTAAATTGTATATTTACATTTATATGCATACACCTGAGATTTACATTTCAAGATAAGATAACTGACAACCAATCTACATATTACGAAAAATTGAGTATTACAGGCACTGGGGAAAGGAGATCTGACGTGTGCACTTGTAAAATACAGGAAAAGCTTTTTTATCTCTTAACAGGTGCATAGGTATACTACTGAAAGGTGCTTGCAAAGGAGTAAAAGCTGCGCGCTCACGTGTTATACGTAGAGAGTAAGAGCGCAGACGCGGTCGATACTTTAATCTGAGGTGACACGTTTCAAAATGTCCATAACAAATTAACATATACCGTCACCCATAGGAGGCATGATTTTGCGCTTAAAAAGATACCATTTCGACTCGACGGGAAATTAAGATGTATCGAAATGGCCAATAACTGATCCGATAACTTACATTTGGCCTATACACCTACAAAACATTTTTTCAAGTAAAGTTTAGGAAAAAAATGTCGGATGGTTCGTTATAGGTATTCTGTTTTGTTTTGGATTGATTTTTCGCTAAATGAAGGGAAAATTAATCGATTCGTAATTTTTTTATGGGAAAAACAAGCATCATTTTAAATGTTTCGTTGTAATAAAAATACGCTATTATATTCGAAAATTGTGTTTACATATCACTGAAAAATTGTAAAGACGTTTCAAATTTATAAATTCTTGAATATTTTTATAACACTTTATTAACCCTAATGGGTTGAAGTTTTTATTTTTAAAATCGAATTTTTTCAGGAAAATTGTACGGCATAAACTTTTGCAAAGGGAGGAGACTGTAGACAATCCTGAGGAATTTCTACATTTTTTGGGTCATATTTACTGGCGGTGTAAATATATGATACGTTTTCTCTCCAGAAAACAGTCCAATTTCGGCATTTTTACTATTAAAAGCCATTATTTATTGCGTTTGTTTTTGATGAATTAATATGCATACTGTGATCACAGATAACATAAACTTGTGCACGCCAAATAATTATTACAAAATATGTGTTTCGTATGTTTTTTTTAAATAAAATTAATTTAATACATTATCTACATTCTTGTAATATGTAGTAGGCGGAGTATAAACTATCAATCAAGTATACTTGTACTGATGCACGTGAGGCATGAGTGCGATATAAAATTCGTGTCGTCTGCTAAATGTTGTACCTATATGTGTATATGGAAATAATCATGTAATATACGATGAATATAACAAATTTCATACAAGTAATTTGAGTAAAAATGAGCTAAGCGTTTTATTAATTACATTCATGTATGTAAACAACATTTAATTGATTTCAATTTAAGAAAAAAGAACTCAGACATGTGGGTTAATTCAAAATTTCGTTTCTCCAAGTACAAAAAGTGATGAACTATCCATTTATTAATCTACTAGCGATACATTATTTTGTTTGTTAAATTTTAACTTCTAATGCAATGTGTATGTATGCATCATACTTACATCAAACTACATGTATCCTCTAATTCTTCCCGTGTCTTTCTGCGTGTAGAGATTGGAAATACGTGTTTTTGGTAAAACTAACCTCAGTTCTGCGGGCATTGCACTATTATTTTGAGACAATCGTGTATTATAAATAAAAAATTGACGTATTATTGATAAATTATGATGAGCCCTGCAATCACTATTATTTCTACAATCCAAAATTGCTAAGTAACCATATTATATAGAATAAGAAAATTTAAACATTCACTTGGTATGGCTTGATTACTGTACTTGTAGAACTAATAGAAGCGTGTATAGCACCTAAGCACGTGTAGCCTGCGCCATATAGGTATATAATCTTATATATACCGAGTGTTACGTATAGTATACGCATATTATACCGAACCGAGTTCGAACGGACCATCGGATTATTGGAGTTTTGGAATGCATGATGTTGCGAGCGAACGCGATCAACGTGTGAGTTCGAGCGACTCTCGTCAACAATGCGGATAAATGTTGGATCATTTGTTTCGTATTGTAACACTGTAGGTATTTTTGTTTGTGAATAATATATAGTAAGTAGCTAGGCTGCATTTCTGTATTCAAAAGTAAATAATTTGTTATCAATGCAGTCCAAACTCCAAATTTTTTTTCTTCCAAGAGCTAACTTATTTACTTATCTTACAGTTAAATAATCAGTTAAGTACCAGAGTAATTTTTAAGTGATGTCCGTGTCAAATGAAAGTTATAGTTTTATCAAGGAAAAAGAAATCGAGGATCCTCTTGAACGCATGTTGAAGAAAACTGGTTGCATAGAGTTACATTATCAAGTGCAAGTAAGAATATTTTATTTAATCTTTGGATATGTAACCTTTAACTCGTGATGTACGTTACTTTAAAACAATTTTGAGTTACCCGATATTGTAGGAGTGTTTTGCTGAAACACAAGACTGGAGAAAGTGCCAAACAGAAATAAAGGAGTTTAAAAAGTGCATGGAAGTATATCGCAAGAAACAAGAAGAAAGTTACAAGTCTTGAAATGTTATTTTTTGAAAGGGTGGCTCTCAAAATGGTACTGCTTGTCCGTACTGATTTACAAATGAGCCAAGGAAAAATAGCTGCTCAATGTTCTCATGCAACGTTGGAATGTTATTTAAGGGCAAGAAAGCGTCTAGCTGCTCGAATGGCTGCTCAAGCATGGCTCATAGTAGGGCAACCAAAAATTGTGCTCAGAGTTAAGGATGAACAGGAACTCCAGTCACTTGCTAGACAAGCAGAAAAGATTGGGCTGGTAGTGGCTACAGTAGCAGATGCAGGCAGGACTCAGTTAAAACCTGGTACTATAACTGTAGCTGGAATTGGCCCTGGGTCAAAGGAAAAGATTGACAGCATAACACAGCATTTAAAATTATTATGATTACAAAAAGTAGAAATAATTCAAGTAGAAATAATCAGCATTGTTTTGCTGTTTTTTGTAAATAAATAAATAAATAAAACTAATTTGTAAAAAAAAAACTTTAATTAGTTTCGATGATAGTCCAGTCAAAATGATAAAACAAAACACCCTAGCTACATTTCATTAATAGGTAATCTAATAAACATATTTGATTTTTTTAAATTTTATTGCAACTTAGTTACAGTCCCTTTTTTATACAGTCATTTATACAATTTTACATAGAAATGTTCAAGAAAGACTGGTACAAACGGGT